TTTGCTCCATTTGACTGAATCTGGGCAGAGAGTATATCCTTATACACTTCAGAATTCTTCTGGCTGCTTCTGTCTTCTGTCACGTCATCAATAAACACCAGTAACCCAGTGCCACTGGACATCATGCATGCTCATGCCATCACACTGCTCCACCATGTTTCACAGATGATGTTGTATGCTTTGGATCATGAGCTGTTCCAAGCCTTCTCCATACTTATTTCTTCCCATCATTCTGGTACAGGTTGATCTTAATTTCAGCCACCCAAAGAATGCTTTTCCAGAAGTGGTCTGGCTTTTTTAGATGTTTTTTGGCAAAGTCTAATCTGGCCTTGTTTGCACCTTGTGGTAAACCTTCTGTATTTGCTCTTGTGAAGTCTTCTCTTGATTGTAGACTTTAACAGTGTCACGCCTACCTCCTGGAGAGTGTTCTTCATTTGGCTGGATGATGTGAAATGTTTTTTCTTTACCATGGAGAGGATCATCCGATTATCAACCACTGTTGTTCTCCGTGGACGTCCAGGCCTTTTTATGTTGCTGAGCTCACCAGTGTGTTGTTTTTTTCTCAGAATGTACCAAACTGTTGATTTGACCACTCCTAATGTTCCTGCTATCTCTCTGATGGATTTGTTTTGATTTTGAAGCCAAACAATTGTCTGTTTAACTTCCATGGAGAGCTCCTTTGACCACATGATGTGGGTTCACAACAACAGCTTCCAAATGCAAATGGCACACTTAGAATCAACTCCAGAACTTTTACCTGCTCAATGGATGTAGAAATAATGAAGGAATAGCCCACGCCTGTCCATGAAACAGCTTTTAAGTCAATTGTCCAATTACTTATGGTCCCTTGAAAAAGGGGGAGGTGCATACGTATTAAAGAGCTGTAATTCCTTAAACTTTCCTCCAATTTTGATGAGAGGAACCTCAAATGAAAGCTCAGAGTGTGCACTTTAAGTCCATATTCATTATATAACTGTAACTTTAATATGTTTCGGTCAACAGCTTAAATAATAAAAAATGTGCCTGTGTCCAAATATCTATGGACCTAACTGTATCATACTTCATGGTGTGAACACATGTTCATGGTGTGTGTGTGTGTGTGTGTTCACTACTGTGTGTGTGCACTTGGATGTGTTAAATGCAGAGCACAAATTCCGAGTATGGGTCACCATACTTGGCCACACATCACTTCACTCACTTTTTTCACTTTCACTTTTTCTTTACCCTCAAAACAGTTCCCCATGGTTATCTAAAACATCGCTCTTGCAATGACATAGGTCTGCATAGTCTGGTGGCATAGGGTAGAGGTACCTCAAAGTAGTTTCCAGCTGAAAAAGGAAAGTATTGCAGTTCACGTTCTTCTGGGCCCCATGATTGGCAGAGAAGAGAGTTCCTGATAAGCATGCCAGATTTGATGTGCGAGTTCAGGTGCAGGGCAATGTTGCTTGATTGGCTACACCTCAGGTTAACAGTGAAACTTAAAAAGAGACAAAACAACATAATTAAAGGTGTCAATTAAAGGGCAAAACTGTACAAAATATAAGCTTTGTAACTACCTGTGAGGAAATAAGCTGATGTGCCCTTTGATTGTAATATGCTGCCCTGGAATGAGTCCTCTAAGTAAACTGCCCTTGTAGGGTATGCTCTGCAAAATGACACAGCATATGTAGTGAGTCATGTTTTCATTATATTAATATGAAAAAATAAATTATGCAAATTATTTTGTTGATCTCAGCTGAAGGGATGCTGAACTTACTAGGTCACCAGATTTTGAAAATACTGCCTGTGCAAAAGAAGAAAATATGTTATTGTTGAAATAAAGGTGAAAAGCATATTATTTACACTTTTAAATATCATAAAAAATGAACTAGCTATATACCAGTGAGAAGCTTGGACACACTTGACTGAATTAACAGTTTTCATAATCTTAAAATATACTTGAAAATTATGTAGACGAATATAAAAATGTGTATAGATATAATACTCTTTAAAGTTGGTCAGTGTGTGCAGAGCTATAGGCAAAGTGTGGCTATTGTGGAAAAGTTTTTTTTTTTTTTTACTGGTCTGGACAAAAATGATGGTACCCCTAGAAAAGATAAAAAAATTATTTGACCATAGGGACATGTTAAACTGTGTCCTGTAATTAGCATCACAAGTGTCTTCAAACTTGTGATCAGTCAGTCTGCCTATTTAAAGGGTGAAAAGTAGTCACTGTGCTGTTTGGTATTATGGTGTGCACCACACTGAACACCCATAGGAAAAATTTATTGCTCAGTGGTTGCTCTTCCTAAGCTCAGGAGATTTAGATGAGATTCTCAAATATCTCTCATTTTAGTATCAACAGCATTTCAGATGTTTCTCCTAAAATTCCTTAGGAGAAATAGAAGTAGACACAAATGAGTGTCTATATGTTTTTTCATTGCAATGGGGTTTTTCACCTTTAATGGTCAGGACAGTAGGAGTAGAGACAGGAAACAATTGGACAGGTGAGAAGTGAACAGGAGCAGGAAAATTACCTTTAGCTGGGATTCAAACCCATGCTGTCTGAGGTGCAGATGTGCCTTCATGTCGTTGTGCTGCCCACAAGGTTATGGCTCTGACAGAGGTTGCTCTACGCTCAGGATACTAAGGGGTAATTCTCTTATATGTCTCATTGAGATATCAGCTTTGTCTTAAGATGTCTTCAGTTTTATTTTAGAAGAAACGTTGTACTTTTACTAATATTGTAAATACTAAAACTATCATTTAAATAGCAATAAACATTTCAGAATATCAAGGGTTACTAGTTTAAATGTTTAAATGTATCTTGTAATGTTTAGCATTACAATTTTGTCGTGTACAGCCCATTTTTGCATTTATGTAAATATAGGTTATGGTTTCCTCTGTTAAATCATTGTGCAATAAAACACTGTCTACATAAAACAACTTCAAATATGACAATGCATGTATTGTCTTTGATTGGTGTGGACACATGACATTGAAGCTAACCATAGGGAAGAAAAATAAAATAAAGTGAGATCTCTTTAACATCTCAAATATTTCTCCTAGACAGAAATGACTTATGCATAATGTACATTAGCTCTATTGTTCACTGTGCTCAGATATTTCTCCTTAGCTAAAGACTCGAGAGTTCTCACATTTGTCTCCTCTAAATTTCAGAAGTGATCTCAATAACTTTACAAAGTGTGCACCAAGTCAAATGCCTCAATATGAGCTCAAACATTTCTACCATATAATATGTATTAATAATCATATTAGTTAATTAATAATCAAGACTGAGTCATCAGCCATTTATGTGCCTTTCAGCAAAGAAAGTTCCATGGTTACATTTTCTGTAGATCAGTTTTGATTAAGGCATCCACTATTTCCAACAACAAATTATGTGCCTAACTTTGGAGGACAAAAATGTGAGACCACCAGAGTCTCTAGCTAAGGATAAATATTTGAGCACAGTGTGTGATGTTGTTGAGATCTATTATAAAGCTTCAAAAGAGACAAATGTGAGAGTGTCTGTTGCTAAGGAGAAAAATCTGAGCACAGTGTGTGATGTTGTTGAGATCTCTTCTGAAACTTTAAAGGAGACAAATATGAGAGCAACAAAGTCTTTAGACTAGGAGAAATATCCGAGCACAGTGTGTGACGCGTTTGAGATCTTGTTTGAAACTTTGGAGGAGACAAATGTGAGACCGCCAGAGTCTCTAGCTAAAGAGAAATATCTGTGCACAATGTGGGATGTTGTTGAGATCTCTTTTAAAGCTTCAAAGGAGACCATTTTGAGAGTGTTAGAGTTTTTGTCTCAGGAGACAAGTTTGAGAAGAAGGAGACTCAAGCAAAAATCTCCATTCGATCTTAAAGTAACCTAATTTCTGTCTAGGAGAAATATTTGAGATGTTAAAGAGATCTCACTTTTGATTTTTCTTTCCTATGGGAATGACACAAAAGAGTTAAAGAAATCACTTGATTGCAGTGATTGCCTCAAAAGGTTGTGCAACAAAATATTAAGTTAACGGTACTATCATATCTGTCCAGGCCAGTTTCATTTTGTTTATGCTTCTGTTGAACCACAATTCAAAAGCAATGTCTGATTTTCATTAGTAAATTTTCAGTAAATTTGTATTTATTATTTCTATTGTCAGTTTCATGTTATTTCAGTGACCATGGTTTTTCTTTCTTTAATGGAAGGGTACCAACAATTTTGTCCACGTGTGTATATATATATATATATATATATATATATACTGTATATAATTTTGGTCTCTACATCATTCCCATACTTGATTTGTGCTATTTCACAGGTGATGACTATTATACTAACAATACATACCAACTAGTAGTGTATGTCACTTACTGAGTCAGGGATAAAGCCAATGGCATGCAGTTCTACTTTTCCAGAGACTGAAAATGTGTTGACCATCTCAAGAGGAATTCTGTGTTTGAACTCCAAAATGTGAACACCATTAACTGCTACCTACAAAAGTAAATGAGTCAAATTCCTGTCACTTGACAAATCAAAACTTTTTCTCTAAAAGTACAACAACTACTACTACTATTAATATGTGGGTTAAAATGCTTTAAACCAGACAGGCCGAGGGCTGTTAACCAGGTTTGTTGCTACCTGTGATGTGATGCTTTACACTCACTTTGAAAACATCACAAAGAACCAAGATTATGGTCTCAAAAGTTGCTCCTTGTTTAAAAGGCATAAGGTCAATATTTTCCTCTCTTCCCCAGTTTTCATGTTGTAATGAGTTGCACACGATCTGTGGAGAGCTGCTGAAGCGGGGATTGAAGTGAAAGGCAACGTCCGCCCGTGGCTTTGTGCTGCAGCCACATGTCAAATCGAACTGAAACCTATGAAGGCACATTGGGTATTGCACTGAAATAAATGATAGCCTATAGTAAAATAAAATGGCTTTAGCACTTAAGTGTCATTTTATTTACTTTTTTGTAGAATAAGAATTCTTTTGGAAACATTTAAAAGCATTTTTATATATGTTTTTTCTTAAAATATAGATTTATATTTATTATTATTAGCGTTGTTGTTACTATATAATATGTGGTTTTATGATAAAGGGACTTAATATACATCTAAAGGAAATTTTCAAACAATGGTACTCTACACTGCAGAAGTGCCCAGTCCTGTCCCTGGAGATCTACAGTGCCTTAAAAGAAGAAGAAGAAGAAAAAGAAGAAACAGTTTCACCCCTAAACAAATACAACTGATCCAGTTAATTAAGATATTCAGGAATGCTTGGCACGTGTGTTCAAGCATGGTTGGAACTGAACTCTATAAGAAGTTAGAACTCCAGGAATAGGATCTGGCAGCCCTGCTGCTATACAAAATCTCAAAGACAATAAAATAAATTTGCATGGTCTAAAAATTCCACCCACTTTGTTAAAATGTTGGCATGATCTAAGAAAAAAACAAACAAACATTTTCACATTCTAAAGGTTGTAGGTAGGGCACAATTTGCTGCTTGACTTACAGATGAAATTTTGCCAACAGCTCTGTTTTTACACATACAATACACATCTTTTATTCCCAGTGTGACTTTTATGTTATTTCCAACCAAACTATGGACTTCATCACCTGCCAGTATCATCCTAGCCACTGGATCCGTCTCATGGCAGAGAAGACTGGTGGTGTCCAGTGTGGAATATTCGTCACTGATATCAAGCTGCTTCACTCTCACAGTGCCTTGAATAAGCTAAATTTACTGTAGAATGATGAAATTAAAATTAAAATATAGGCTACAAATAACATTTTAAATGACTTCTGTTTTGGAATAAATAAAGCTGTATTTAATTTTCGCTCCAACTGCTACTAACTGCTACAGGCTGTAGCTTCAGTTCCCCTTCAGTAACTCACGCTGCGTTGAACGCATTTTTGGAACACGTTCCGTCTTATTTACTGTTGTTTGTAAAAACAGTGCACAATCACCTTTATATGGCGAGCTAAACAGACAGCACTTTAGTCCGTGTGTTCTTCTCTGCCCGCGCTAAACATTACCCCAGGTAGCCAGCGCACTCGGCTGTGTGCTGGCAGCGGCTCGCCAGAAGTGAGCCAGCTCTGGCCCAGTAATGCTTGCCAGATTTGGCTAGGCTTTGGATCTGCGGATCTGGCCCGATTCTGGTTGAGAAACGGCACATTTAGCCACATTCAGCACAACTATGGGTCATAAGTGTCAGTACCAAAAATGCCAACTCATTGTGTGAATATTTGGTCCCCACAATGGAGGTTAAACATGTACACACACAATCAATTAATTAGGCTGAATTACAAAATTGCAAGATTATTTTTTTTAAACAAAATGTTTTAGAGTTGTCAAGCTTTTTTTCAAATGTTATTTATTTAATTGCATTACTATTTTAATTAATATTTCTATTCATTTTTAGGCTGACCTCAAATGGACTTATAATTAAAAAAAATTTCCCTTCATTTAAATTACATGACACTTTCTGACTGTGTGTGTGTCACGAATCCGGTCCATGAACTTTCCATTTCATTGACTCTCGCACTACACACTGTTGCACATCACCCCGGACTACATTTCCCATCATGCATTGCACTGATTGCACTCAGCACGAATTGCACACACCTGTTTACACTGATTGCACCCAGCTGTTTCATATCACTTCCTCACTATTTAACACTCACTCTGTTCCCTTCCCTCTGCCGAGTATTGTTTCAGCGATTATCTTTCCCCAGATAGCTACTTTACGGAGCCCTAGTCATGATTTTAGCAAATGGCTGCAATATAACAAAGAGTGAAAAATTTAAGGGGGTCTGAATACTTTCCGTACCCACTGTATATATATATATACATATATATATATATATAGTAAATAAATAAATAATAATAATAATTCTGCTTTTTAATAACAAAGAATTACAATAAAAGTAAAACATTTAGGTCTGTGTATAGACCAGGGAAGAAAAAAAGTCATTTTCAAGTAGGCCTGAAATTACAATTATTTTCAAAAATTAAACTATTTATTCTTTTTTCTTTCTTTCTTTTTCAGATTGTCATCTGATTGTTGTAAGTGATCAGTCTAGCAGTCATCCTGCATCTTTGATTTGCCATGTTCAGTTTGTACAGATATATGTATTATCGGACTCATATTGAGTGATGCTTTTTTTCTTTTTCTTCCCTTTGTTTTTGTGTCACCCCAAAGGCTACACAGCACTGAGCGTCTTTGGCTTTGTAAGTATATATATTTTTAAGCTGACTGTCAAACACTTTCTCAATGTTTTTTTTATTTTATTATTATTATTTACACTCTAAAAAACACTGAGTTAAAAACAACCCAATTTGGGTTGTTATTAACCCAAGGGCTGGGTAAATATAGGACAGAACCCATCTTGGGTTAAATTTACCCAGCAAATTGGGTTGTTTATTTAACCCAGCATAATGTGTTGATTTAACCCAGCTAATGGGTTTATTCATTTTTACTATATTACTAGCTTATTTTTTTACTTCATACATTAAATAATGTTTACAGATTAACTTAAATTCTCTAAACCTTTCTAAAATACTCCACACAACCACTGGTTTGCATGATAACTTCCTTTATTTTCCTTTATTTATCATTTAAAGCATTGTTTATATCGTTTTTAACAGGCTATACATATTGCCTATATTTAAACTCGTTTAACAAACATTAGAAGAAAAATTCAACATTAAATAGAAGTAATTCACGTGTAATCGACCAGTCTCTGTTATTCTTTTTCCACCACTCTCACTTTAGAGAGTCGTTATGCTGAGACCTCCACTCTTAGAGTTCCGTACTTTGGCGGGTGAGCTAGTCTACGAGGCGAGCTTTGGGCCTGCCTGTAGAGCTTTGTAGCTCTGGGTTTGGCCACAGCGATTTCGCGGGGGCATGGATATTCCGCCTGCCAATGTCAAGTTCATTGTCGTTTTTTCATTCATGCTTCAGACACTGGTCACGCTGGAGGCATTCCCCTAGCGCCCTCTAGAGGAAGCAGCGTCTCGTTCCCTATTCTCAGGGAACCATGGTTACATGCGTAACCT